TCCTTTTAGAGACAGCCAACCACCGCATTTAATGCCACGTCGCATCCGCCAACCGCATTCAATGCGGTTGACGTACCGCTGCCGGTGCCACTAGGCTGATGTGACCCTTCGGCCGTTGGATTACTGACACGTGTCCTCTCATCGCATTTATTGCTGCTATAAATAGCAGCCCATTCCTCCTTGTAATGGACACAATCTACATCTCAGCTCCACATCTCGAGTTCATCTAATAAAATCGACTCTCTCTCCTCCTATTTGCTCTGACTTCTCTCCAGTTATTTCCGCAATAACCCTTCGGATAAGATACCCCCCGGGTAGGCTATCCATCAGATGACTATCTTTTAGTCATAGTTTAAGCCATTTTCTCTTTTTCTAATCCCCAGTTAACAATCCAAGGATCGATTGTTTTCTACATTATTAAGCTAATATGCGTTTGGTAAACTGAAAGGTATTAGAATCCAAATGAGTGTGATGCTGAATGTGATGGTTGAAACTTAAGAGAAATTTCAATTCTTTACCAGTTACCACTTGAAGTTAGAAAGTTTGGGGTTCCTAACCTCTTTGGATATTTGGTTAGTTGTTCATAAGTAAAAAACTAACGTCTCAATTTAACTTTTTGTTTACATTCATGGTGATTGAAATCCTCATCCACGGCTTCTAAATCCTCCAACTAACTTAACCAACAAGGCAAGCATGCCTTGTTTGTTAAGTCTCTTTTTCTAAGCAAGTAGTGAAGACGTGAAGTAGAATAGTATCATGGTTGTCGGACGACACAATTGCCTATTTGGGGGCAGCTCGATTGGTTTCACTAACAGAATTTTGAATGCATAAGCTATGATCAAACGATGTAGTAGAAATGTAGAATCCACCACTCATCAACAGGGAAGTACGGATAAAGACTTGTATCATCTTTTATCTTTTCCAAGTCTTATTCGATGTGATCTGATTTGTATAAATCTAATAGGATTTGATCTAATATATTGTAGTCTAGTTTGAGTTGCAATAGAAATCAATCAAAGTGAAAATATCTTTGGAGCTAGAATTCCAACAATAACACATCATCATATGACATTGGGGTTAAAAACAATATGTATGTGGAAAAATGAGGCTAACAAACCATCACATGTACATCTCCCTCCACTTCAATTTCTACAAAGTTATACTCAATGTAAACCAAGAAGTACGGTACCACATCATTCTGGACCACTCTAGTCCACGTCTATATAGATTGTTCCCTTATTCACCTCTCCACCTCATCTTTCCGCCTAGCAACATTTTGGTCGGACAAGGTATAAGTTTACCGTTCCTTGTGATTATTTCCGTTTTTACCCTTCCTTCCCAGTCCCTCATTTATACATTATTAGCCTCCTATAGGCATGGAGCCGGGTCGGGCCCGGGCCGGGCCTAGGCCTGGTCGGGCCTTTTGTGGTTGGGGGAAGTAGGGCTGTTAACGAACCGAGCTTTTATCGAACTATTCGAGCTCGAGCTCGATTTCGAACCTAACGAGCCGAGCTTAACGAGCTTCGGACTCGAACTCGAGCCGAGTTTTAAGTTCGAAAAATTAATCGAGCCGAGCTCGAACATAGTAGTTTTCGGCTCGGTTCGAACTCGAGCCTATCGAACACCCTAAAATTTTAAATATAATTTTTATATATGTCAAAATTTAAATATAATTAGTATGGTTTAATGAATTTAAATATGATTATTAATGAACCGAATACTTGTCGAACCATTCGAGCACGAGCCTATTAACGAGCATCATCTAAAATTTTAAATTCGGGCATATTTATCGAGCTTATCGAGCGCTCGGTTCGAAAGCGAACGTCTATCGAGCCGAACACGAGCCTCATTTGTAAAGCTCGCCGAGCTTCGAGCTCGAACCCGAACACCCCTTATTCCTTAACGAGCCGAATTCGAGCTTTGGGTGTTCGGGCTCGGTTCGCCTCGTTAACAGCCCTAGGGGGAAGGCCCAGGACCGGCCCGGGTTGCCACCGGGTCTGGGTCGGGCCGGGCCTTGGGCCGGTTTCTTTTTTTTTCCCCTTTTTCTAATTAACCCCCCCACCCCCAAACCACCCCAAATGGCCCAAAATACCCAGCCCAACACGGGAAATTAAAAAACATCGAAAAAACAAAAAAGAAAAGAATAAAGCCCGAACCGGGCTGGGCCCGGCCGGGCCAGTTCTATATTTAGCTGACCCGAGCCCGCACCGTAAAACCCCTGGGTCGGGCCTACCCGGACCGGTCCCTGGCCGGGCCACCGGTTCAGGCCGGTTCCAAATAGTGCCAGGCCGGTTCTGGTTCCGGGTCGGGTCCAAGCCTAGCCTCCTATATGCATGAGAAGGCCATCAAAATTGTGACTAACATTTTATCTTCAATACGTGACACTTCCATTTTTGCCTTCTTATCTCATTTCTCAAGAGGTCTTTTCTAGTATGTCCACACATCTATCAATGGGATGAACCAAATCGAAACTCGGAAACCGACCATGTCCCAAAACAAAAAATGTGCCCGATTTGAGTTTTCTTATTTTTTGACAACCCAGATAAAAAGATCTCGACCGAACCCGAAAAATTGGGTCCACTGTACTATTGGTCCCTAAAATCTATTATCCGACCCGAACCAGTCAAAACCTGAAAGAGTTACCTATAATATAAAATCAATATTTAAATATCAATTTTATTTAGAAATATTTCATAATATCTTACTAGAATAAGCATGCATTTGTTTATGTACGGACTAAACGGAATGAATGAATAAAATTCAGTTTCTACTCCAAAAAATTAGTATGAGCTCATTGACATATTAGAGACGATGCTCCTTTAGCTGCCGTTTCAATTCAACTTATGGAGTATTTACTTAAGTTCGGCTGGCTTACCATGTTTTTATTTGATCTAATTTTGATCCCAGACCAGACTAAATTAGACTAAATTATATCATGTCAGACTTAATTAATTAGATTTTTGGAAGAGGACTAGAGGTGTCTCGATGGTAAAGTAGACTCTGTATAAACTACTCCCTCCGTCGCATTAGAATGTTCCAACTTTCTTTTTTTGGACGTCCCATATAAAGGTTCTTGTTTCCATTTTAGAAAATAATTAACAATCTTAAGTGACAAATTAATCATTAAATATTAAAAATAATACATTTATAACATCATAGTTATCAATACTAACTACATTAAAAATAATACATTTATAACATCACAATTATCAATACTAACTACATTATAATATATACCTATAAAAATATTTCTCAAAATATACTCAAAGTACTTTATTTAATTATTGCATAAATAACTGTGTCGTTTTACTATAAGAACCTTCCAACCGGATAAAGGTAGTATACACTACTTCAATCTCTATTTAGTCAATTGTCTTGCCTTTTCTAATGAATGATAAATAAATTATACTTTCTTAACCCTATAATGATTTGCAAAATCCGTTTTTTACTCAATGTAATTTACTTTATCTACTTATGTTACATATCAATTTTTATTATAGGGGAAATTTGACTTTGCACCCCACTTTTTGGGTGATATTGGACTTTGCACCCCATTTTCAAAAAACTTTGACTTTGCACCCCATCATAAAACATTTTGTGAAGGAAAAATTCTAAATGAGGTGCAAATTTAAAGGATTTTGAAGTGAAATGGGGTGCAAAGTCGAAGTTTTTTTAAATATGGTGCAAAGTCCAATACCATCCAAAAAGTAGGGTGCAAAGTCAAATTCCCCCTTTATTATATTTTAGAATGTTTTTATTTGGATTGATTTCAGTTCCATATCAGACCAGATTAGATCATACTCCGTACTATAAAATAAATAGAGATCAACCATTTATCAGATCCGACGAGACCATTTCAGACCTGACCAGCAAATTTCAATTTAAGTAACATATTTACTTTGGATTTTGCGACTTTATATAACTTTCAATGTAGTTTGTAAATATGTAAGTGTTAATTAACCAAGCATTCCAGCTTAGCTGGTTTTGAGGTTATCGTGCCTAGTGGGAGGTCTCGAGTTCGAAACCCGCTAGGCATATAAAGGGTTTGTAACTCAATGGAATGAGTTTCAACTCTGATTACTCCAGGCTCCCCCAGACCCCACTGGGAAAAAAATGTAAGTGTTAATTATTGAGGTTTATTTCTTCAACCCCGGGTCCAACACATAAGCCCAAGAATTTTGAATGGGTTGGTGTGTGAGTATGAAATGCAAGCAAGTAAGATGTGCTAAGAAATGTATGCAATAGTGGGCCGAGTATTATTAATCATTAATAACTTCCCGTTACACTGCACTATGCTAAGGCCGAAGGCCGTTCGTCGTACAATCAAGTAGAAGAGCTGCAGATACAAAGCTATGAGCTGATAGTAAGCTAGAAAGCTAAGGCATATAAGTTGCTAACCCTTTACAATGAAATAAATGCTACTATTTATACAACCAATGTGAGTTGGCTATGCTGACGTCGAAGGCTGTGAATGACTGAAGTCTCAACCACCAAATCTCCAGCATGGCAGCATTAAATGCGCTCCCACCAGAATCTCGGTTTCCCGCCCAATTGTGGAGACGAGCATCCCCTTGGGACTGTGGGCCTGCTCCTGATAATGCTGCAAAGGGTTGTGGGTCGTGCATCGTCTGGCCCTTGTAGAATATGTTGATTAGTTCCTGGGCTGGATCTCCTCATGTTCTGTATAGTCGTTCATCCATGGTGTTGACCTTGTTAGGCCTAGACGAACACGTTCGTCTGAAGACGGTCTTGATGGGCCGATCCTCTAATTGAGTCATTAACCCAACAATTCCTAAAACTGATTTAAATATTTGTAGGAATGATTTTGCTATATTGCTGGTCAAGATAAAAATTTGCAAATTGCAAGTATAAAAAAGGTTTAAATTATACATCCATCTAAAACAGAACATTAAACTCATTTTTGTCCCTTTTCCCATTTAGTAACCTGCCAATGTCACTCAAGAGTACAGTAGTGATTAGCTACGGGATTGGCACATCAATTAAACTCCAACAAGAAACCACCTATCACGTTTCTCCTTCCTTATAACCCCTATCCGTCACTGCCCTCACATTTCAACTTTCGCCGGAGATGAAGGACGGTATGAAGCATCCGGTGGCGGAGGCAACCGAGGAGAGCCCATTCGGACCCTTGACTCCGGAAGAGTTCTACTCGCGCCACTCAGTGAGCCACGGCACCGAGTTCATCACCAACTCTCGCGGCCTCAAACAATTCACCCAGTGGTGGACCCCTCTCCCTCCGGCGAAGGTGATTGGCACCGTCTGTGTCGTCCACGGCTTCACCGGCGAGTCCAGCTGGATGGTCCAGCTCACCGCCGTCCACTTCGCCAAGCAGGGGTTCGCGGTCTGCGCCATCGACCACCAGGGCCATGGCTTCTCCGACGGACTCGTCGCTCACATACCGGACATCAACCCCGTCGTCGACGACTGCGTGTCATTCTTCGACTCGTTCCGCGACCGCCACGTGCCTCCGGAGCTGCCCTCATTCCTCTATGCCGAGTCACTCGGCGGCGCCATTGCTCTGCTCATAACCCTCCGCCGCGGCAATTCCGCCCCGAAACGGCCGTTCGACGGCGTCGTTTTGAACGGGGCGATGTGCGGGATCAGCGATAAGTTCAAGCCGCCGTGGCCGTTGGAGCATTTTCTGGACATCGCGGCGTACCTGATACCTACGTGGCGCGTTGTTCCCACTCGCGGATCCATACCTGATGTTTCGTTCAAGGTCAGAATTCAGATTTTGTTTCCCCTTTCAATTCCTCGTAATATTCCATCGTAGAGTAATATATCTTCGTTCTCCAATCTCAATTTTCCATTTTTTGCTGGCGTGATTGAATTATTGAAGGAGGAATGGAAGAGGAAGATGGCGATTGCTAGCCCTAGAAGGACGATGGGGAGGCCTCGAGCAGCGACGGCGCGTGAATTGCTGAGGGTATGCGGCGATTTGCAATCGAGGTTTGAAGAAGTGGACGTCCCGTTTCTGATCGTTCACGGGGAGAGCGACGTCGTATGCGATCCGGCGTGTGTGGAAGAGCTATACAGACGCGCCGCCAGCAAGGACAAGACGCTGAAAATATACCCTGGAATGTGGCACCAACTGGTGGGTGAGCCGGAGGAGAATGTGGAACGCGTTTTTGGAGACATTGTGGAGTGGCTCACGACTAGAGCTAACCGCGCCACCAATTGAAAGGCCGCCGCGTACGGCGGATGACGGTGGCTAATTATTTGAAGCAAATTGGATTGGGTAACTAGTAGTTGGCAGTAATTAATAAAGAGTAATGAGTTGGGCCCATGAGCTTTGGGAGTACGAAATGTAAGGCCTAACCCAAATGGTTTCTTTCAAAGAAAATGTACATGTTCCCTATCTGTGGGGTTGTCAAAACTTAAAAGGGCATTTCACGCCCATAATGTGTACATGAAAAAACACTCTTAAAATTCTTAATGGAAAGTGTAGAACTTTTAAAAATAGTTCAACGATTTAATGATAATTTAATACGAATAATAATGGTGATGATAGATAGTATATCAAACTGAATATAAATTATAGTTCCTTCTCACAATTTGGTTCACAATTTGATTTTTTCAGTCAAATTTTGTTAACTTTGACCATTAATTATTCAAAAACAGTATTATCTTATAATATCAAAATAATTTTGAATACTTTATCTTAATATGTACTTCCTCCGTACTTAAATAAATGCAACGGTCAACATTTCACACTTGACGAGACACAACTTTGACCATTAATATATATAAATTTATATTAGTAAAAAAATTGAAAAAAATTAGATAATGAAAATTTACAATGAGACAATTTAACAATTTTTTTTCATAAAAATATATTCATACATTAATAAATAAAACATAGTCAAAGTAGAACATGTGAATAGTGTAAAATTTCATATGTTGCATTTATTTAAGAACAAATGTAGTATTATTGAAATTTTAGTTTATTACTCCGTACAAGTTTTATAAGTTTACATTTTTATAAAGGTAGTACAATACTTTGTATATCAATAGTAATGACAGAGGTTATTTTGAAAAATGCTTGGTGTACACATTTTGATGTACATATTTCGTACACTCGTTTGTCTCAAGCACAAACAATTGTCTGTCCACAAACACATCTGTATAGTTGGCTGTGGACAGACAATTGTTTGTGCGTGAGATAGACGAGTGTACAAAAAGTGTACACCAAAATGTGTACACCTAGCACAAATCAGTTATTTTATCCAAGAGTAGTACGGCTCGCTAACAACTTGATGGCCATGTTTTAGCCAAAAGTGATTTACCTAGTCCCTACACTACTCAAACAAATTTGAACTGTAAATTAAACCGGATAAACAAAACGCATACATCAAAGTGTAGGCTTAGACTGGCCGCAAATCTATCCGTCAATAAATCAAATCTTCCAACAGTTAATACATATTCACTCAGTAAATTTCATTTTTTTCTGTAATCTAACACCGTTAATGTATTAACCCAACATTTTTTTAATTAAATCCTTGCTTTTATTATTATACATCAATTTTTTTTCAAATTCTTAATTTGCGAATAATTATGATTTAAAAAGTCAAATATTCCAATGTAAAAATAAATAAATTTGGACTGTAATTATTAACCATGAAATCAGTTTTTGAAAGGAAAAAAAATGAGAGATGTAAAAAAACACTTTAACCATGAGTTCTTAATTTTAACACTTGAATTGACTTGAGATAAATGTTAGGTCAAAAAATCTCCAACAGATGCAACTTTACATTTTTTAATTTTATATATGTAGTATGTAATATTGGAGTCATATGAAAGGTTTTAAAAATTTATGAATTTTTATACGGAGTATATTTTTTATATAAATTGGATCACAAATAAAAAAGATATTCCGTTTTAAAATAGGAGAGATTTTTATTTCCTGGGTCCCATGTCCCTGCCACTTGCCCAATACCTTTTCCTCCCACACTGACTAGTGCGTTTCTGCTTTTGCTAGGTGAATGAGTTCCCTATTTAGTCAAGGGGTGCCATGCTTCCACTATCACACATATGTATACAAAGTTTTGTTTGGATTGGAACACACTTTGGGGTAAATACTTCAAATTTGAAGTTTTCATCCCTTACAATGCGGACACTCTAAGAAACTAAAAGAGGATAGATATTACTAGTAGAACTAAGAAACTTAAAGTGAGGACTGAGGACTACTAACTAAAAGAGAATAACTATTAGAACTAAGAAACTTAAAGGAGTAAGGACTACTAACTATTTGAATGGGAGAGTTTGAGCTCTTGACATCAAGGCTGGCCTGTTCCACATAGCCTGCCCCCTTGTAGTGTTTTTTAACCGAGCAGCTCCTAGTTGCTGATGCCCTCGTCCCTTTCTCGGCCTTCGCAAACCGGGCCTTCCTCATCCACAGAATCAATCCATATTACCTTTGTTTTCTGCTGCCTTTGAAAAAATGCCTACGAATAATTCTGGGTTGAGGACTTGTAGTTGAGCTAGATTAGATTCTTACATGGTTGGGCACTATCTTTGGTTCAAATCCCCTTCATGGCACTAGTTACATTTTGTTTTCTATTTCAGCTTCTTACATGATTTTCCCACACTAGAAATTTACAAAGGATTTAGCCTTAGTTCTACTTCTCTAGAAATAAGTGTCATTGCATAATGACCCATTTTCGCTTTGGACTAATTTTTTTGTTTGATCTAATGGATCGATCGACTTAAGCATATTTTGATCTCTTTAAGACTGGTTGGATTGATGTTTTTGAATCTGGCATGTACATATGCAATTTCTATTTATTATTTAAGCAATGCAGGCATCAATAACATAGATCTCCAGGTCTCCAAACACACCTTTCGAGCATTAATAATAAGTTATTTTACGACTTTACGAGGCCATATTCTCATTAAACAAAGTTGCATAGGGATTCCATATTCACACAAAGAAGCCACTCATCACGGATGATGCTGAGTCAAAGATTGGATAATTGGAAGGCAGATAGGCTCTCATTTAGGTTTGTCCAAATCATTGAAGTATTCATGACCAAGTGCATCCTTAGCTTTGATCCTCCTCGACGGTTCCACGCGAAGCATTTGCGAAAGAAGATCGATGCCAGATTCTTCTAGACCAGGGAATTTTTTTAGCAAAGTCCATGCGCTTGTAATGAGGCTTGCGTAGAGGGTAACGCCCCGCCTCTATGTATCCAGGTTGCAGTTGATCTTCCACAGGTGGGCCGACAAGCCTTAAAGCAACCAAATTTTAAATAATAAGTGAACAATAACATTTAATACACTAAAGCTGTAAAGCACCAAAAGAGAGTTGAATCACTACTGCAAAATCTTGTGTGCCTGAAGTCCAAGAAAAAACAACGATCCATCAACATGGACAAATAGTGGTTCTTGTGTCACCATCTCAGCGAATATACATCTCACTGACCGACCACACAGTAGATGCTTCAGAGCATTCCTCTAGTGCTAGGAAATATCAGGAGGGATCTATACTCAGGTGTGTCCCTCTACAAGATACAACAAAAACCAAGACGAAGTAACAACTTTAATCATATGTTTTCGGTGCGAAAGTGGCGGGGCAAAGCATTATTACCGGTAAAGGATCGCCACACAAAATGCCACTTTTAACTGTAGCCAATTTATCAGCCTCAACTGTAGCCCATCCAAAACCAGCAAGCTTAACATTGCCTTTGCTATCCATCAGCAAATGATTTGGTCTCAAATCTCGGTGAAGAATGTTGAGGGAATGGCAATGCGCAAGATCAGAAAGAATTTGATATAAATGAGTCTTTACTGTATGTGGGTGCCTGGCAGGCATGTTTCTCTTCTCCATGAAAAAGCAATGGTCATCATGCTCATAAACCATGCCCAGAGACATGTAGTCGTCTCCCATTTCAACATGAAGCAATCTTGCAATGTTCCCATGCCTCACCTTCATCAACACTGAAGTCTCCTTCATTATCTCTGAACGAGCGGCTTCAGGATTTGCCCACGAATAATATATCTTTCAGAAATTGCCCTAAATAGGAGTAAAAACGTTTTAAAATTCCAAAATAGAGTATCATGTTTTTTATTCCCTGAATAGGAGTAATATGCCAAGTTTGGAAGAAAATGCCATGTTTAAAGCCTTGTAATGCCCAAACTTGGCAGAAATTTACTCCTATTTAGGGAATAAAAAACATGATACTCATATTTTTTGGAATTTCAAAACGTTTTTACTCCTATTTAGGGAATTCTCTCTCTTTCTTTTGAATGGTTACATTACTGCGAGTGAGACAGTTATAGCCCAAGATAAATGTATCATTGCTGTCTTTTCCAGCAGTTTTTATCCGCATTTTACGACCATGACTGTCTCGAGTGGTCTTTTTTTTGAAGCAATTGATCGTGTTGCTGATGGAAAAATGAATTATCATAATTGTTGGAAAATTGGGAGTATTTCAGATGAAAAATAATTAAAATTAGCATTATTTTTTGTAAAACATTTTTAATTTAATTAATTTTGCAAATAGTTTGTAAGTCTCAAATGTGTAGTACGTGCATGCTAATTAAAATATAAAGTTAATATGCACCTGCGAGCTATACTATCAAATATCAATACGGATGATGAGCTGATGTTTTTACTATTAAAAGTGTAATTACAACAGTACTCCAACGTTCATTATTTTTAATACTTATTCGAACGTTGCTTAGGAGTTACCTGAACATTATTGTGTATTAATTTCAGCCGTTGGAAATCTGACCAACAACGTTCATTTTGCCAGTATATATACTTCGTATATGTGTGTTCGGCAAGGCTCGGTGCTGGCTAAGAGTAAGAAAAATAAAAAGATTAATTTGAGCTAAAAATTCCCTAATATTTTCACTCTGCTGGATTAATTTTATTTCTGCTCTCGTTGTTCTGTTGCCGGCTTACGCCGAAGAGCTCGTTATATCTTGGAGAAAGATTTTCGCTAGTCGGAAATACTTTCTTGAGGACAGCGTCTAACGCGTCTCGAGCTAGATTGTTTTCTAACATTATTTTTGCAGGTTATCCGGCCGAATTTCCTACAACAATCTCAAGAAAGTATTTGGCGTCAGATATGTCTGCACGTGTGATCTCGCAAGGCGTTGTCATCTCACTCATCGCGGCTATGTTATTTTTGCATGTGTGGTGCGAACTGGACTGGTATTTGGATATATCTCTACGTATAATGCTTACTCTTTTCACTTCCCTACTTACAATAAGCCATACTTTAACACCATTTTTTAAGAAAAATAATATTCCTTTATTTAGTGGTAAAATGACAACTATGAAAAACAACAACCCACTAAAATCAAGTTTAAACTTGGTTAGTAGTGATGATAATTTTATTGCGGTTGTTTCTCAAAGTTGTAAAACTAATGATGGGAATGAGTGGGTGGTAGACTCCGGAGCTACCAAGCATGTTTGTAAAAACAAAAATGCTTTGACCTCCTATACTATTATAGGAGATGGTGAAGAGCTCGTGTACCTAGCGGACTCTAAAACCGTTAAGGTGCATGGAAAAGGGAGAGTTCTTAAACTCACATCGGGGAAAACTTTATCACTAAATGATGTGCTTCATGTGCCCGAGATTCGGACTAATTTAGTTTCCGTTTATCTCTTGGGAAAAGTTGGGGTTAAAGTTTCTTTTGGTTGTGATAATTTCGTTATGACCAAAAATGATGTTCTTGTGGGAAATGGCTATTGTAAGAAAGGACTTTATATACTTGACATTTCTGAAATATTGCATGATAATGCTTCTGTTTATTTAGTTGATTCTTATGATGTGTGGCATGCTAGATTAGGACATGCAAGTAATTCTTATATTAAAATGCTAAATGATTGTGGTTTGATTTCTTTTAAAAATAAAACGACACATGAAAAATGTGACGTTTGTGTTCAATCTAAACTAACTAAAAAACATTGTCCCTCCATATATAGGGAATCGGAATTGCTTAGTTTAATTCACACGGATTTAGGTGATTTAAAAAATACCATGACTAGAGGTGGTAAAAAATATTATGTCACCTTTATAGATGATTTTTCTAGATACACTAAAGTTTATTTGCTTAAAAATAAAGATGAGGCTTTTGATAAATTTTTAGTGTATAAATCCGAGGTAGAAAATCAATTAAATAAAAAGATTAAGAGAGTTAGATCGGATAGAGGGGGTGAGTTTATTTTATTAAATGATTTTTGTGAAAAAGAAGGGATTATTCATGAGGTTACTCTGCCATATTCACCCGAATCTAATGGAATAGCTGAAAGAAAAAATAGGACACTAAAAGATATGATGAATGCTCTTTTAATCAGTTCTGGTGCACCTGATAATCTTTGGGGGGAGGCTATTCTTTCTGCATGTCACCTACAAAATAGGATACCCTATAAGCACAATAAGAAAACCCCTTATGAATTGTGGAAAGGTCATGCGCCTAATTTGAAATATTTGAAAGTGTGGGGGTGTTTAGCTAAAGTCTTATTGCCTGATCCTAAGAAGAGGAAAATTGGTTCTAAGACTTCTGATTGCATGTTTATTGGTTATGCTGAATCTAGTGCTGCTTATAGATTCCTTGTTTTGCAAAGTGATGTGCTTGAATGTGATACAATTGTTGAAACAAAAAATGCTGAATTTTTTGAAAATGTGTTTCCTTTGAAACGAGAACACACGACCGTTGCACCATATAGTGAGTATGACCCATTACAAGGAAATGAAACCTTTAATGATGAACCCTCTAGTGATAGTGAGCCATTAAAAGAAAATGATTCTTTTAGTGATGAACCTTCTCTTTTGAGAAGAAGTAAGAGGCCAAGGATAGAAAAATCTTTTGGAAATGATTTTTATACATATCTTGTTAATGATGAACCTTTAACTTACTCACAAGCTATTTCTTCCAAAGAAGCTCCTTTTTGGCTTGAGGCCATACAAAATGAAATTGATTCTATCAAACAAAATAAAACTTGGATTTTAACTGATTTACCGAAAGGTTGCAAGCCAATCGGATGCAAATGGATTTTTAAAAAGAAATTAAATCCGGATGGTTCAATTGATAAATACAAAGCGAGGCTTGTGGCGAAAGGTTTTTCTCAAAAACAAGATGTTGATTATTTTGATACATTTGCACCGGTAACGCGTATTTCATCTATACGAACTTTAATTGCCGGCTTCCATTCACAAACTTTTTATCCATCAAATGGATGTTAAAACTGCGTTTTTAAATGGTGAGCTAGAGGAAGAAATTTATATGGTGCAACCAGAGGGTCATGTAGTTATTGGTCAGGAACACAAAGTGTGTAAGTTGATCAAATCATTATATGGTTTGAAACAATCTCCAAAACAATGGAATGAAAAATTTGATGAAGTGTTATTTTCTCATGGTTTTACCTCACTAGAAGTAGATAAGTGTGTATACACTAAATGTGAAAATGGTGTGTGCATTATTATTTGCTTATATGTGGATGATATGTTAATTTTTAGTAGCAACCTTGATTTAATAAATGAGACAAAATCCTTTCTTGCTTCAAAATTTGTTATGAAAGATTTGGGGGAAGCAAAAGTGATTTTGGGTATGAAAGTCATAAGGAAGGATGATGGTATTATACTATCTCAAGAGCATTATGCTGAAAAACTTCTAAAGAGGTTTGGACACTTCGATGTCAACCCTGTGAGCACCCCTTATGACTCTCATACACATTTGAAAAAACATAGAGGTGATCCCGAGGCTCAATATGAGTATTCCCAAATTATTGAAAGTTTATTACACTTGATGAATTATACGAGGCCTGACATAGCTTATGCTGTCGGAAGATTGAGTAGATATACTCATAATCCAAGTGGGGATCATTGGACCGCGTTGAGGCGGTTGCTTAGATATTTGAGAGGTACCATTAATTATGGTATATTTTATAGTGGGATACCCGCTGTACTAGAGGGATACAGCGATGCTAACTGGGTCTCTGACTCAGATGAGATAAAATCCAACACTGGATATATATTCACCCTTGGAGGTGGTGCCATTACGTGGAAATCAACCAAACAAACTATAATTTCTAGATCCACTATGGAGTCCGAGCTTATTATTTTGGAAGTAGCTTGTAGTGAAGCGGAGTGGTTGAAATCTTTCTTAGCAGAAATTCCGGTTGGTACAAAACCAATACCATCTGTGTCTATTCATTGTGATTGCAGAAGTGCAATAGATACTGCTAAGAAAATGTGTTATAATGGGAAGAATAGACACATTCGTTTAAGACATAAAGTCATTAAACGATTATTGAAGAATGGAATTGTGTCCATTAATTTTGTGAGGTCACAAGGAAATTTAGCGGATCCTTTGACAAAAGCCCTAGGACGAAAATTAATAACCGAAACATCTAAGGAAATGGGACTAGTGTCACTTGAAACGAATGGGGATGGGAACCCAACTTGTGTGATTGGAGATCCCATGAAGCAAGTTCATATGGGTAATAACAAGTCTCCCATTTAGTTCTGCTAGCCTAACTGAAGTTGTCCATTTCCATGATGTGAGATATAGGCTAGAAACCGCATACTTTGAGAGGATGAGCTAAAAGCTCTTAATGATTATCATAGCCCTTAATTTTAGGGTGGTGTGCAAAAGCGGTACACACTTGATGATGTCACCTATATGAGTGTGATGTGAGGCCGCCTCCATGAAGCATGACAAAACTTCTAGAGCACTCATGAAAACCAAGCACGCGCATGGCCTTACGGCGCACAACGGCGTAATAACGAGAAATTGTGTGGGGTGAGACACGACTGTTAAGACCCTGATTTACCAATAGTGGCTTGTTGGTTCATAGAAACTATATGTTTCACCAAAAGCTCGGTTTATTAAGACTTAATCGTCTCGGTTTGGTTCATAGTCTACGGACACCAAACTTAAAGTCTCATTCTTTTAATCCAGCAGAAATTTTTTAAACTATTTTTAACATCTAAAATTTTCATTTGAAATATGTGGGGGATTGTTGGAAAATTGGGAGTATTTCAGATGAAAAATAATTAAAATTAGCATTATTTTTTGTAAAACATTTTTAATTTAATTAATTTTGCAAATAGTTTGTAAGTCTCAAATGTGTAGTACGTGCATGCT